CCCCCCGCATACGGCTCCCCCGGGTTGGACGGTCCCTTTGGTGTCTTTGAGTTTTTGAAGTCGATCTGATCATGTTCAACTTCGCGGGAGGCGGCTCCAGACGCAGCTCTGGAGCGATAACGCCTCGCGAGTTCCCTCCCAAAATGTCAGCGTGTCCAGGTTCTGCCGGACTGAGGAGCTTCCCGCTGGGGAGCTGCCTTGGCTTTGGGCCGTCCCTGAACACCAGGCTAGGAGAGGACCCTGCTCTGTGTTCAGTGTTCCTGCGAGTCCTGCTCCGAGATTTTTCCGTTTGAACAGCAGAGAAGGACTTTACACAAAGAGCTGGAATTCCCACCCCTTCTAGGGAGACTGATCAACACGAAGGCACAAAGCCGGGTAGGTTTGTGCCACGCAAAGGACAGGAGGAGACAGGCAGATCCCCAAAAGACAGTAGGAAATCTCTGCACACACATCTTACCCCGTGGATCACGTATCCCGGATCGCTGTACATCAGGAGCGGGGTGATCCGGGAATGGTTGGCATAGCGGAACCTCCTCGGGAACTCTGCTTTCTTGTACACGTGTAAGTTTGGGTGGGCGTTTTTCAGGACTGAATACACATGCTCTAATTTTCCTTCTTTTGGCACCAGTAACCCGTTTGGTCCGTAATCTAAGAGTTCAAACTGGATGTCTTTGAATGTGAAGTTCTCTACTGTGTTGATGTGGATCTCGTTGGTCTTTATGACAGTCTCCATGCCATGGTCGGACGTGATGATGAGGTTGAGCTTTGATTCCAGGCCACTTTCCCGGATACGCTGCCGCAGGTAACCGATGGTTCTGTCCACCTGCTTGATCATGTTTTTCCTCTGCGTGGATTCGGGGCCGTACTTGTGTCCTGCTGAGTCCGGCTCACCGAAGTAGAGGGCGATGAAGTCAAGGTTATTGACCGTGAACCACTCCATGGCGGTGTCGATGTTCACTCTCCAGTTGGTTTCATTGCTGTAGTTGAACAAAAAGGGCTCCACCAACTTCATGTTCACTTCTTCCCCTTGGTATTTTGCTCTTCCTCCAGGGAAATAGATAGAGCCTGTCTTCAAGCCCTGTTAGGGGAGACATTGCATAAACTCACCTGAACTCGCTCTGCAGCATCTCTCCATCTGTCAGTGAAACCACCTACTAATGTGGTTAGTTCATTCAGCCCCCTAATGTCTATCTCTGCCTCTAATGAGGTCTTCTTGCTCATTGCCAATTAAAAGTGATTAATTGAAAGCACTGCCCTTACCAGGACTCCTGCACGTTGGTTTTCTCACTGTGTTAGTAGCACCAGTTATAACTTTGGAAACAGTGACCTGTCTGTACCTCACGGACCCTCCACCTCTTGACCATCAAGATGTTCAGGTGGGTTTTTCTCCAATCGTATGAGCACTCACCCTGAAGTCAATGGGGCTAATTTGGCAGGTCAATACAGGTGAAGGTACGTGTCCTGGGCCACGTCTCAGCTCCTGTCTCAAAGCCTACTGGGATCTAGGGAAGTCTTGCTGCAGTCCCCAGTGATGAGGGGACCGGCCCCTGACGCTGCCACCCCACGGTCCTGGCTGAGGCTGAGGAAATGAGGTTTGTGCCTTGGAGCGTATGAAACCCTCAGGGGCTCGTGGTGCTCCCTGAGGAACTGGCTGAGGGTTCTTTAAACAGGAAAAGGGTAACCTCTTTTATTAATGTCGTAATAAAGCTGAAATGCATCTATTATATTTTTTGCTATTTTTAATAGAATGATCATAATTATTCCTGCCAGTGTCTGGGGATTTCAATTTTTTTTTTTGCTGCTCTAATTAGCCTGTCGTTTGCAGTGAGGATGTTCACTCATGGCCACTAGAGATCGTGGCTTGTCTGTAGCTTTCACTACATGATCGCAGGCAGGATCGGTGTGTGCGGGGTCCGTGCGGGGGAGGAGGCTGCCGCACTCGCCTGTCTCTGCGCCGTGATCCAGATGGGCAGGCTGCCGTTGTCCCACCAGCTGTCCACGCCTTGTGTGCTGTGGTAGGGCAGCTTCTGCCCCGTGCTGGTGTTGAACCACATGTTGTGAATCACCCCGTGGTTCTCCAGGTATTTCCCTGTTTGGAGAGATGGAGGAGATGGGGGTGAGCCAGGCTGGGGGGGTCTCGCCCCTGTGTTGGGCTGGGTCTGGGTCAGCGAGGAGCTGTGGCCTCTCGTACCCGTCCCAGCTCTCCCTTTGCCTCCTTCCTTCCCCCACCTCGTACAGAGTGGGGTTCCCAGGGCAGGGAATGAGATGCTGGGGGACTCCTGCTTCTCATGTGGAGAGGTTGATCCCAGGGGGTCTCACCCGGACCCTGAGCTGGGGCATCCTCAGCCCTGGAGCCACCGGTACCACCTGCAATTCCTCCTGCCCTCGGCACAGGCGAGATTCACCATTATCCTGCCTTTAACTAATTGCTTCAGGGTTTCCCTGTCTCTGTTGCTCACAACCGGTGAGGTCAGCGTGCAGCAGAAATTCCCGTTAGAAAGGAGAGACTTGCACTTTGTACTTTTCCATTTCATGCTATTTCTATTATTCTGGTCCTCAAGACCACACAGTTACTTCTGCAGGACACCCCCGTCCTCTCCTCTATTGACAATGCCTCCCTGCCTGCTCTCATCAGCAGATTTCATTAGCATGTTCCACTCTTTTATGCCAAGGTTATTAATGAAAATCTTAAATAAGATTGGCACCAAAATCGATTCTTCAGGAATTCCCCTGCTGCCCTTCCTCCAGCTTGACAATCTCCTCTCAGCATCACCCGCTGTCCTCCTCCCCGTAGCCCGTTCCTTCCCCACGTTAGAGGTTTTGTACTAATCTTCCTCTTCTCCATCTTAACTAATGATTTCCCGTGTGGCACTGTATCAAATACATTACTGAAGTCCAGAAAGATTAAATTTAGTGCATCTCCCTTGTCTAAAAAATCATTTGTCTTATCAAAGGAGGCTATTGGGTTGGTCTGGTGCTATTTACCGTTGATAAATGCAGGTTCAGTTCTATTCCTCTCTGCAGCTATTGCCTCGTCTCTCCCTGTATCTGCAAAATGCTCCTATTCTACAGCTTTGGGAGCTGCTGAGGCTGGGTGGCCGCTCGGATCAGTTTCCTTCACCGACGCACAAGCATTAACTTTGCCCACCCTGTGCTGCTCCGCCGGGCTCGGGGCCGGTGGGGACTCACCGGTCAGCAGCGTGAAGTGGCAGGGGCTGGTGATGGTGATAAAGGCAGGAGTCATGTACTGCGCCTTCACCCCCTCCGCAGCCATAGCGTCGAGGTTGGGGGTGTCCACGTCCTGGTCGTAGTTCCAGCGAAAGCCATCGAAGGACACCAGGAGGACTTTGCTGCGGCCGGACACCGGCTGCACCGGGATGCATCTCACTAAGGAGAGGGCAGCGAAGATGAACCCCAGTGAAGGGAACATCTTCACGCCCTTGGACTGGGAGAGCCCAGACACCCAGAGAGCTCGCATTAATACATGTGGGGTGGGACTAAGTTCAGTTTTTATCTAATCTCGCAGTTGCTGATCTGGCTCATGGCTTCAGCCAGCACTTCGTATCAGAATGAGCCTCTCTGATTTTTGTCTAATTGAAGTAGATTGGCTTAGATTTCCTTCTGGGTCAAACACCGAATCTGCCTCTTCCATCAGTGCTGCTATTTCAGTGCTCACGAACAGGAAGAACTGCTCGTGTGGCAGGAGGCTGCCTTCTGCAAAACCTGCCTCCCCATCTCCCCGTGTCCCACCACCCTGTGTCCCACCACCCTGTGTCCCACCACCCCACTGCCGTCCCTCACCCCGCACTGGCTCGCTGCAGCCTGTCCTGGTGCCCTTTCCACACTCCTGGCTTTTGGTGCCCGGCTCTCTGGCCAGTTGTTCAGCTCAAAAGGCAACTCTTCCCCTACCCAGGGCTGCCTATCCACCCAGAGAGGGGTGCTCAGAAAGGAGCTTGGATTGACCCAAGGTCCTCGCGTGTGGCTTTGTGGAGGTACACACTGGGGAAGGAGGCTCTTGCCTGAATCCTGGCTGTGCCATCAACCCTCAGAGTTGCTTCAGAGGGTGAACCTGGCTCTGAAGCCCCCATGTCCAATCAGCCCAGCTCTGCTGCTCACTACAGGTGACCCTCATCCACTCATGCACTGCTGAGCTTCATCATATCATTGTCCCATTTTATCAAGATCTGCTGTTTTTATGACATCTCTGGAGTTTAATCATTGCTGACGACTCATTTCTCAGCAAAACTGAGTTTAAGGCTTTTGTAGACTTATCTAACAGAGGTTGACTTCCTTCCCCTGAACTCTCAACCTTTGCGTCTTTGCTGATCTCCCTCTGCTCAGGTTCCAGATTTATTCTTCGGTGTTTTGCCTTCTAATTGTCCATCTGTCCCCATCTCTCGCCAAGCAGTGACATCTCCACTGGGTTGCCCAGCCCTGTCTGGGGTCATTCCTCAGCATTTCTCCCCTAAGGGTGAGCTGGGCAGATGAGTCTCATGCGTGTTCCATGGTTCATCATCCCTGGCCCATGACAGTCTCTTTGTAGACCTGAGCACCCCTGACTATTCCTGTCTGGACTGATTCCTCAGGCTGTATCGATGTCTCAGTTGCCTCTTCTGCCGGGGTTGGGTTTCCCAGGTGTGACATGGGATAACAGTGCAAGGACACTTGGAGAGGGTTGAGTGGTCACACCAGAGACTTCATGGCTGACACAAACCAGGAGTGCAGCCTTGGGTGCTTCGTTGGCGGACGGGGGGAACAAGCTGAAGCTGCGGTGGGATGGAACCTGCTCTGAGCCCCAGCCAAGCCCCCTCCAGCTGATGGGGACATGGGGTGGGTGTTGGTTTGATGGCAGCCCAAGGGGAAACTCCTCAGCAAGGAGCAGGGGGCACGGTCTGGGGTCTGCTCTGCCGGCCCCAGCACTGCCGTTCACTCAAGGAACTATTTTGTTTTCAGGACTGCTCTGGATCTGATATTGTCCTTTCAGCAAGGACAGAGGGGCCTGACAGGCACCGAGGGTTTAAAGGGCTCCATGATAAAGATGTTATCGCTTACCAAGCTCCGGGAGAGTCCTAAATATCCAGCGTGTTGTCGTAAGGTGGGTCACTGAGTCCCCGTGCCATCGCTAACAGCGCAGGGGAGGGTCCCGATAAGTTATCGTGTTCATCGGCTCCGCTGGGAGGGAAGAGGCTGGAGAGGAGGAAGCAATTCTCTAACCTTGGGGGAATATTTGATAACGGGAGTGTCTCAATGCACATTTTGATATTCGGTATCTGAGGAGCATGAGGCACAGATAAAGAACGTCACCTTTGGCCACCCAGCCTGGGGACACTGCCAATCTCCAGTGAAAAGGCTGATGCAGTGGATCTTGCACCAGTGGCACCCCAGGTGCTTCTCCTACGATCCGATGTGCCCGAGGGGCTGTGGCAGCTCTGGGGTCACCGTGACCCTGCTCAGCACCCTCCGAATCATGGGCCCCTTGCTGACGGCACCGATCCTGCATCCTTGGAAGCACTCGGGAGAACGTGCCATGAGCTGCGCTCTGAGGGTGTGAGTTGTCAGTCCCAACACCTAACTGGGGAAGATGGTCCCTGCAGAGGCGTGTTGGGACCGAGACTGTCCTTCCCCCACTTGTGTACCAGTTAACTGAGTGAAGACAGAGGAAGGGGGTAGAAAATAGAAATCCCGAGTGCAGAGGGGTCATCGGCCCCTGGAAGTGTTTGTCTGCAACACGGCTCATGGGCACCCGGCCTGTTACCAGCTTTTGCAAAGAGCGGGGTGCTGAGCCCCCCTCGGGCACAACCGCTGCTCCCTGCGGCGTGTGAGCGCGTGTGGGCAGTGCCGGGGGTCTGTGCTGGGGGGGGCAGTTTGGGCAGGCAGGGCTGGGTGTTTTTCCTTCTTTATTTTTTATTTTTAAAGAGAAAATCAAATTGCAAATTTCTCAGAGATGCCACTTGAATTTCAGTCAGCGCTGTCACACTTTGTCCCACATGAGCAGTCGCTTGGCTCCCTGGGCATCCATTACTGGCATGGTCTGAGCTGCTCCCTGGCCATGGGATTGACCAGCTGGGTGACACCTGGGCAGGTCCACAGGTGAGACAGGTTGGCTGGAGGGAGGGGAATTGGGAGATGCTTTATAAAAGCCCTCCGCACCCCTAAGAGCTGTTTTGGTGCTGCTCTGTCTGAGCATGGAGGGAGGAGGTGCTGCGAAGTGGAAGGATGGCAGAGACCGGGCTCTGACCCACTGCAGGAGAGGTAGGACACGTGTGGGGTCTCTGGGTGGGTGGGCAGCTGCTTTGCCTGGAGAAAGGCTGAGCTGCAGCCTGGTCTCCCCAGGGATAGCCCCCTCCCAGGGGTGCTGGAGAGGAGGGGGGCTGCAGGTGCTCTTGGCCATAACATAGAGGATGAGGTGATGGAAAGCAAGTAGGTGTTGTGCTTTTGCTTGTCTTGCTGTCCTGCCTGGAGTTGCTCTGCAGATCAGTTGTGCCATCCCAATGGTTATGGCATTGCACATGCAGCCTGTTGGAAAGAGGGTGAAGGAAGGGAGAAGGGGAGTGAGGAAGTGGCCAGGAGGGTGAGGAGAGAATTGAATGAAGCAGCTGGAGATGCTCTGGTTTGCTCTTTACACTGAACCTGCCTTCTTCATCAGTTTGGTGCAGCTCAGACACAGGGTAGATGTCTGCAGGGTTCCTCTTGCCTCCCAGCTCATAATTGCCTGAGTACCATGGGCCTAGGGAAGCTCATTAGTGTCATTGAAATATCAGGTGCCAGGGCCTTGTGGTTGAAGTTGTAATGCTGCCCTGGTGAGGAGAACCAGGAGCTCTGTGGCTGAGTGGGGCTGGGGCACCTGTGAGGGAAGGTGTGTGGAGCTACTGAGAGCTGGATGGGGCTGTGGAATCTGTGGAAGCTGCTGGGGACTGGATGCAGCCGGGACAGTTGAGTGGAGTTGCTGAGTGTGGAGCAGACTCTGCTCTGTGTGGCTGAGGGCAGCTCCTGGGGAGGTGGCTGTTCCTGGCAGAGCAGACACCCGCCTCTGCTCACACCCGCTGGCCCCCCGGGGGTCACACCCGCTGCCACCCAGGGAGAGTCACTGTCCCTGGGTGTGTGAGCTGCTTTATCCCAGGCACTGCCAAGGAACTGGGATGCGGGTGGAGAAAGTGCTGATGATGGCCTCAAAGTCAGGAGCAGAGCAGCAGTGATGATGTGCTGCGTGACATCAAAAGCCAGGAGCAGCCCTGGACTTGGCCTGAGCCCTGAGGCGGAGGGTGGGAGGAAGATGCTCCAGCCAAGCAGCTGGGAAAGGGGCTTTGGTTGCTGCTGGGGGTCCTTGAGCAGAACGTGGGTGTCTGTCCCAGGAAGAGAGTGTCTGGTTCTGACCCTGTGGAACTGCTCCCCCGGGGCTGTGGGGAACTGGTGTGGGGGCTATGATGTCACCATGGGACTGACACCCCATAATGTCCCCGGTTTGCTGTTACCAGCTGGGATGGGCCATTTGCCACCTCCCTCTTTTAGGGTGGGAGGGAGGGAGGTGTGAGGAGGGGGCTGAGCTGGCCCCATCTACCCGTGGTTAGTGCTGGAGTCTGAGAAGGGCCAGGTGACAGAGCCGGGACCTGCCCAGCCCACGTGTGGGTCACAGGGCAGCTGTCCCCGTTGGGCTGCAGGGTCTGGGAAGGGGGACAGTGACAGGAGTGTCTTGCACGGCCCATGGGGACAGGACCCAGTGATGTGTAGGGATGGAGCGTGTGTCCTGTGCTCCAGGAGCAGTGGTCAGTGCTGGAGTCTGAGAAGGGCCAGGTGACAGAGCCGGGACCTGCCCAGCCCACGTGTGGGTCACAGGGCAGCTGTCCCCGTTGGGCTGCAGGGTCTGGGAAGGGGGACAGTGACAGGAGTGTCTTGCACGGCCCATGGGGACAGGACCCAGTGATGTGTAGGGATGGAGCGTGTGTCCTGTGCTCCAGGAGCAGCCTCCTGGGATCAGGGCTATGATTTCAACTCTGGTGGAAGATGGGAACTCGCCCCCTGGGAGGGACCTTGGGGACAGCCACTTTGCAGGCACATATGGAGACTCTGCCATAAGCACAGCCCCAGGCTGTGGTGCTCTCGAGATCCCCAGCTGTGTGCCTGGTCCCTGAAGATTCCCCTGTGTGGAGACCAGGGCTGCTTCTTGCTGCTGGCTGGGGTCTGGTAAGGCTCTGGCTGTCAGGTCTCAGCAAGTGTGGGATGGGGAGTAGCAGAGATTGGGATTGGGAGTGACTGCCTTGGAGGAAGCGTGAAGGGAAGATGGAGCTGGATGGGGTTGGGCTGGCTCGAGGAGCTGGATGGAGCCCAGGGTCTCAGCGCTGGGGCTGAGTCAGCTGCAGGAGGTTGTGCCCACTCAGTGCCTGGGGCTGTCTGCCTCCCCGAGTGCTAAATTTGCTCATGGGTTGAAAATCAAGACTCTCTCCTGAGGAAGCCCCATGTGTGGTGACTCAGCCGAGCGCC